TCTGTGCCTGATAACACCGCCTCAATCAGCGTCACTCTCCAGAAAAACGGGCGGCGGTACGAGCAGCCTGGGCTTGCAGCGACTGACGGCTCTGCGCGAAATTGGCAGCGTTTATTCAAGCACTGACGGATATTCTAGAGCGTTCTGTTAACCACTTCGCGAAGTAAAAGCATCCACGAGCTGTTTCTAAAGTTAAGGTTGTTTATGTTTCTAAAAGAAATATTTTCTTGACAGTGTACGTCTGTAACAAGCCCCGATAAATTCTTCAACCCATTATTACAGTCAGAGAAACCAAGGGGAACCGAACAGAAGCCAAATCCTGCCCTGCCCCAAACGGCACTGAGACCCCACATCGCCCTTAATCATAACCCAAAGAAATTAGTTGCTTTCCACATCTGCGCGCATATGCTATTTCTCCATCTTTTACAGAGGCAGTTAAATCTATTTATAAGCTTAAAATACGCGTTTTTGCTTTAGAAATCAGAGGTTCCACCACACGCATGTGAATAAAGGAAAGAAGTGACAGTTCTACAGACCTGGGGCAGACCCTGCTCCTCACAATTGAAGTAGTTCACGCATAGTTAAGTGGTGATGACCCACTCCCCTTCAGCACGCGAATCCCGTTCACAATCAAAGGAGACTAAATAAACAATCCTCAGCAAATACACAAAGAACTCAAAGTTAAATCCGGTACTAAGTGATCTAAGAGAAAATCGTGGGACACAATGAAATGCTTTTCTACGGATCGACGAGAGATAACCCACTCCTACGATACTTTTCAAAAAGGACATGAAGTTTTAAATATTCATTCTGTTTTCTGTACACTTATGAACACCAGTCTCGTAATCTTGGAAACAACCACCTGTCATTTAAATTCTACAGTCCGTGACCTTCCTCTAAAGACCTCTATTAGCTCACAACCCAACCAAGTGTACTTAGTCAAAATAAAAATACCGCGTTTACAGATATCACTGTGTCTTAAAAATATGGGAGTGAACCAAAAGTAGTGAATGTATAACACGAAATATATATGTACTCCTTGATGTATTACTCCGGCAGCTTTACACATTTCGCTCCTAAGCTATAGAGAAAATTAAATGAGATAGAAGAGAACTTCATTTTTCCCCTTAAAAATTGCTTTAATTTTCTGACAATTAAGAAACACTAAACATGACCCTGAAGTATGATCTCAAAGAGTACTTTGAAGCTGGCCAAGATGAGAACCGAGTCAGCTCAGTGCCATCAGCGCTAGGAAAAGATCAGCTGAAAAATAACTGTGTTGAAAACAACTGGTAATTAAACAATCGCTCTCTGAGTCGGGAAATCACTGAGGAAAATAGTACCGAAACTGTTATCTTGGTATTTTCTGCTCTGCTGCTGAGATAGTCAAAAGCTTTCAAAAGCTAAGCTACCATCACTGAACTACTGAACACCACACACAGAAGTCTTCCGTTATAATTTTTCCCTTCACCAATTTCCCGCCTCTCTCCTCTCTCACCAAATATAGACCCTTTTTTCTACAGAGTATTTCTATACGGATGGGATAAAAGAGACGCCCCATCACTACGAGAAGTGAGAACAGGTCGTGAGGAATGGTAAATTACCACCCCGTTCCGCAAAAAGTTCTCCATCTCTCCACAAAGCATCCTGGATTTTACCACACCCCGCGCTCACACATGCACATATTTTCGATGGACTTCCAGACAGAGAACAACGCTCACAACTTTCACCAACATTTCATCCGCTCCTTTCGCCCAAAAATTAGTACATCATGTATTTCAGTTTCTCAAGAGTGGCGAATCGCGACAATCAGAAAGCTGCTAAATCTAAAAACTCAGGAGCGCGTCTTGACGCTTGACTGATAAGTCATCAAATAAGGCGTTCAAAGACGCATTTACATACACCTTGAGGGAAATATGAAACTACTGAACAATTCACAATTTGAAAAGCGCTGAAACAGAAAAATAAAATATTCCATAGAACTAGTAATGCAATTTGACGACAGGGAGACAGTAAAAACAAAATTACAAACCACATTAAAAAATACCATCCGATGCAAGATACATTTTTAAAAGCGAGAGAAGAAAACACGAGAATTTTGACGGGCAGTCACGTATAGAGAAAATGAAATTTCAAAATGTGAACACGTACACAGCAAGAAGATATCACGTCTAAATGCAATACACTGGAAAGCTAGAACGTCATTCTAAAAGTCTTGTACCAGAAAATGCGCTTTAATACATCGAACGTTGATGTATTAAGGAAATCGTACTACCAAAGAGAGAGAAACAAAACTGTTGAGGATTCTTACCATGCTTGAAGCAAGTGGGGAGACAGACGGCCCCTTCCCAGCAGAACAGTTTTCTGCAGCAGCATCGGGCGGCGGCGGAGGGAAGTTGGGGCTGAAAACCATGAGGTCGCTCTTGGCAGCGCCGTCCGCCACGCACAGGCTGCGGCTGTGGCGCTGCGAGTAGGACCAGCTGCCCACTTCGCNCTACAATACATATGGAAAGCAGGTTGTAGTGCCACCCTCCCACAACAACACCCCCAAAACAGCAGCAGAAATGTTCATCAGTCTGCATGTTACCAGCTGTTAACCAACACATTCCCTATGTCAGGACAGAGGCAGCACAAGGAACTGTTTCTGATGGAGATATTCATAATCTCAAAGGACTTTGTGCCTATTTCAGTACCATGTATTATCTCAAGATGCAGAAGGTCTGCAACATCAGATGCTTGGAACATAGAAATGATCCTGGGCAGAAACACTCTGGTCCCATCACGCCTCCTGCTTTCCTCTAAGCATCTCCATTCCCCAGTCTCTAACATTCTCTAGAAAATGATACAATTCCCATTCCAGTTCTCCTATTATATGACTCATTGTCTCACAAATGATTTCAGGTTCCCTCAGAGGAGGCTTCCCAGGGCTCAAGGTCACCTTTCAAACCAGGACATGGCCAGGAACTGCTCAGTGTCACTGCCACATTCACCTCTGTGACAAGGCACAATTTTCTTTCCTACCTCAAGTGACAATTAGACTTTGCTTAAATCTAAAGTCTAATAAAGACTTAAATTAGTCTAAATTGGTCTTTAGTCTAAAGGTTTCCCAGCAGTGAGAACACTGTGAAATCCACACATATGACATCACATTCATGGTCTGACAGACTCTGCAGGTGCATCTTGAGCTCTGGTTGTGAGACCTGACACCAATATTTACGGCAGCAATCATGCTGGGACAGCTCTCATGGCAAAGGACACTTGATCTCATGCTGAGAGAGACCAAGCAACATGATGATGAGCTTACCAATGCACTGGCTATTTTACTGTGTAGAAGAAATTTTTTGTTGTCGTTGTTTAGAAGAGGATTTACAGGGTACTTCTAAAGGTGTTCCAAAT